CCATGCTTACTGTAAGATATGCAGCTTCCATCTGTTCGGTAGATGCTCTTAAGAAGGTTTTTTCTTAGCTTAAGGAAGCTCTTAACACTAGTTTTTTTTTTACTACAAAAATTGCATCATTTAAAGGTTGATTCATTCATAGGGTACCTGCCATATTTACCCGGGAAATATTTTCAAGACAGTGAAATATTATTGAGCCAAAAATCACTGTTACCCATTTTCAGTGGGAAACATACATTTAAGTAGTTTCATTCACTGTAGATTTCCATGTATTCGATCTTTAACATCTCAAGTGTAGGTCACTCTAGCTGCATAAAAACAAACGTGGAATTGGAAGTCTTCAATGGGCAATGTTCAGAGCTTCTTAAAGATACATTATGGTACAAATATGTGAAACAAGTAAAAGAAAGAAAGGTATGTCATCGGCCTTTCTTGTCAAGGTCACTTCAAGGTCAACATATTTTCTCAACTGTCGTCACAAAAGACATTCTTATGCGGATTTTAAACTTTAACAGAACAGGAACTTATTTTAAAAAAAACTTCTTAAGTCAGAAATCAATCAGTACCTACTAAATCTAATAATACATTAGGACCAAGTTTGAAGATTCTTTTTTCTAAGAAAGTCATTTTATTCATGGACAGGAGCCACAATGCCATCGCTGGAATTCTAATCAAGTGAACTAGAATGTAGGCGTACAGCTGTGTAGTTTAAGAAATTTGATTGAAGACATTCTAATGATGAAAATAAAAATCAATAATTTTTTCAATACATTTGTAGTTAGCGTAAAGTGTAATGACCTTTGCAGAAATGATATGCCTATTCAAAGACAGAAAAAAGACTCCCCGATCCTGACATGAAATCGGATTAAAGCCTGTAAGCTTAAAGAGCTATCAAAAGTTCAGTACAGGAACTTGAAATTAACATATTAAGCTTTTATTCAAATTATATTAATTGTCAAAATTTCCAATATCTTTTGTTTAAACTGTGGACGTGAATAAAATTTATATTTTTAACCAATTTGTAAATATGTATTGTGCATTTCACATTTCGGAGTCTGATACTAATTCTACGGAAGCCGGTTGGTGCCAGGTAGAAAAAATATTTTATCTGGCGGCCGCCAAATAAATAACTGGAGTCCGCCAGAAACTTATCTGGCGGCCGCCAAATATTTTTCTGGCGGCCGCCAGATAAAAAGATCTGGCGATCGCCAGAAAGTTATCTCGCGGCCGCCAGAAAATTATTTGGCGGCCGCCAGATAAGTTTGTGACGGCCGCCAGATAAAATATTTTTCTACCTGGTACCTCCCGGCTTCCGTATAATTCTACATAGAATCTACTTGTACAAGTACATCAGCTTTAGCTACTATATCTCTTAGAAAGGAATTTAATAAAAATCATTGAATACTTTTTCGTTTTTCATGTTAAGTATTAATTACCATGACTGTGTATTGTATAAATAACTGCAAAAAATAAGAAATCTGAATTTCATTTTTTTTTTCATTGAAGAAGATTTGTTCATGATACAAATAGCTTAGAATTTTTTTGCTTATGTTTCGACCTTGATCTTGTTTAATTGACCTTGATTCTGGTTGACGATTGACACTCTCTAGTTTAAGCACTCTGAGCGTTATTAAAAGTATGGACGCTGTTGCAATCCTGGATGACACACGTATAAGCTGGAAAGAGTTAATTCTTCTTACCCTTAATACTGTCGAAATGACCTTTGCTTTAATAGGGCCAGGATGTCCTCTGCTCTAGAGCAGATTGTGTGTGACAAGAATTAAATCTGCCTATCTCTGCATGATGCATTTATGACCACAACAAATAATTCTACCATGCCGATCCCTGTGCCATTAAGCGAAAACATTTGGTTCCAGATTGGAGACATCCCTTGGACATGGATGACATGTATGTAAGTTTTGAGTATACCAAAGTCCTCTATTTTCTAAGACAGAGGGAAGTGCATAATAGCTAGAATAATACATAATAGACAATGCTTAGAGAAGACAAGTCACACCCAGCCGATGTTTCCTCAGCCACGGTTATCTTAAAATGGTCGCAAAGTAAAGAGTCTGCAGAGTTTGCTGCATCCAAAGTGCTCTCCAGCATATCAATGCACATTTAAACCAGAAGGTACTGTCAAGACGTTAGCACTTCTAGTTTGTAATTTTGATAATGAGAGAGAAAGGTTTCACCTTGTCTAAACACTCTGTCATTTACGGAATTCTGCATGCTGCTCACTGAGCTTTTTCCAAGTGTTACTGAAATAAATTCAAATTTTTTGCAGAATCATTTTGAAAGATTTTCACAGATTATTCTTTCTTTGGTAGACCAAATACCACCCATTAGAATATAAAGCCAATGATAATCATGATCGAGCCTTTTTTTACAAGTCAGGTGAAAACTGTAGTTAAGTAGCCTTTTGAAATGATTCCACAATTTCATTTGTTTGGTAACCTTGGCAAGAATTTTCATCAAAATCAGAAATCGATAAACATGAATTTTTTTAATTGAGTTCAGACAAAAAAAAAACTGTAGGAAGAATAACATCTTAAAAGAATTTCAAGGACATTTCTATTTACCATGGTAACACCTTTCATCAAATCAAAAATAATAGCTGTTGTAGTCTAATGCGTACTCGAGTTACCTCCCTTTGTTAATATGATAACTTTTTCTGATGCACCGTCAATACCCCCAAGGGTATTGATGGAAGTCGCTGAACTCCGGCCACAGAATTTATTAACAAAGTGGACATGCTCTGTCATATAGCAGACAAGAGCGCAGTCTAGCATGGCTGTTTTGGCACAAACAAGTTGCTTGGCTGTATTCGAAATGTTTTCAAGTAATATATAACATTCCTAATATCACATACACAAAAACCAAAGAACCTTTTAGTATTTCCATATGAAGTGAATTGTGCGCATAAGTATACTGGATAAAACATAAATAATTCTAGGGGATCTTTCGTTCTTCCGGATTTTAAATCTTTTTATGCCGGTTTGGAGGAATATACTTGTTGGTCTGTCCATCTGTCTGTCCGCAAAAAACTTTAACCATGGCCATAATTTTTGAAAGGTTGGTGTTATGGCTTCATTTTTCACATTTGTACTCCTTGTGACAAACTTTTTTGGGTATCAACATTTTTGTCCCCAAGTTTCACTGAAAGTGGAGGATATTAATTTCGATCTGTCTGTCTGTCTGTCTAGCTGTATTTCTGTCTGTAACACTTTGTTTCCGCGCGACATCTTGAGAAGCCTTCGAGCTTTCTCAATGACATTTTACATAGCAATTCCCTTGGCCTGAAGAAGAACCCTATTGATTTTGAGGTCAAAAGGTCTTAGGTCAAGGTCATAAATTCTCTCTGTTTTAACACTTTTCTTTCCGCGAGATATCTTGAGAAGCCTTTCAGCTTTTGCAATGAAAATTTGCATAACAACTCCCTGTGGCCTAAGGAAAACCCCTATTGATTTTTAGGCCAAAAGTTCAAAGGTCAAGGCCATAATTCATACATTCTGTCTGCGTGTAACACTTTCGTTTCCGGGCGATATCTTACGAAGCTTTTGATCTTTTGCAATGAAATTTTGTATCATAACTCCCTATGGCCTCTCTCGCCCCTATCAAAGTGTCCCGCCCCGGTTTTTTTATTGTATTAAAAGTCGCGTGGTGCTATTTTTAGTACAGGAGCACATGGAGAGTTATTACATATAATACAGTTTGTCGGCGGACTTCATATTCTAATTACATCTATTGGAACTGTTTAGTAAAGGCTAAATTAGACACCATGTGTTGTGTAAAATTTTGACAATATCGAACGTGAATAAAAACATGTATATGTGACCTGATGTTTACATTTAATTAGCTTAAAAGACAAGCGCCTTGTTAGTCCAGGGGTATGATTCTTGCTTAGTGTATGAGAGGTCCCAGGTTCAAATCCTGGACGATCCCGTATTTTTTTTTTTTTTTGACTCTTTTTTTCGATTTACTAAATGACAGTATTCAACGTATGAAATGAAGAAGTTATGACGTCTGGCGTATACACACTTTCTCATAAAACCATTATTACAGTGTGATAAATATTCTATATAAAAAGAATCTTCTGTACACATATTAAAGAATAAGCAATCAAATCTATATATCAATATTGGCATTTTTTATTTCTTTCAGTAATAATTCTGCAAATCCGGGGGGGGGGGGGCTGCTTATGCTCTTCTTTTTTCCTTAAGCGGGGGACACAAATCCTCTGAAATTAGCTTGTTACCTCATGACCTTTACCTACTTTTAAAAAAACTTTAACCTTGTTCATAACTTCTGAACGGTTGGTGTTAGGGCTTTCATATTTCACATGTGTATTCCTTGTGACAAGACTTTTTTGGGGTATCAACATTTTTGACCTCATGACCGTGACCTTGGGATTTGACCTACTTTTGAAAGACTTTAACCTTAGTGATGAGCTGTCAAACAGGGACTGTTTCACACATCTAGGTCCACTCTGTCCTAAGCTAGATGTACCTTGCCTGTCAAAATTAGCTCCGTCAAACTGTCATATTCGAGAAAAGAACAAAAAAATCGAGCATATTGGAATTGCTCCACCTCCATGGAATACTTATTGAAATGTTCACAACTTTTTGTGATTTTTTTTAGACAAAGAGAAAAGACTGAGAACATAACCATTTATCGTTTGCAAAAATGATATAAAAGATGCTAAGTTAAATTGCCAAAGATGTATGAGGAAAAAATTACTCTAAAAAGCATTTTTCTAATAAATCTTTCTGGGTGAAAACGGGGAAATTTGCCATTCAGAGTTCGATTTTTAACTGCAGGAATCTGTTTCCTGTGGGAAATTTTGGTCTTTGACACAAGAAATCCTCCATATAACAGCACTATTTTAATTGCTATTTTACAGTTATGTTCACGGAAATGTAAAATAAATATTTATAACTACTGGAATATAAATCGTTCTCTCTTTGAGAGGGTCCTGTAATAAAAACTATCAAGCTGTGTTCCAATAACGTATTAGTTTATGTTTTATTCATAAATGTCATGATATAATAGGACTTAAAACAAATGCTTAATAAATGTTTCACTTTGAACATGCTACACTATCCTCTTTTTTACGCATACTCTATTGAAATTTTAATGTTCAAAAAGACATAAAAATGAATATTTTTTCTTACTATTTACAATATGTAGATGACAACCACAAAATGTAAAGAGTTAAGCGCTACTTAGAATACCGAATTTATTTTCGTATGATACTTAATGTCAAACTAAATTAATCTAATTAAATTAATCTTTGTCCAATTCGCTTCACAAAAATGAAGAAGAGAACAGATAATGATATTACTCAACACAATTATTTTTTCCTCATAGAGTACTCTTTATGATAAATAATTTTTATCACCTTGAAGATGATGGCCTCGGCTTTATGTTTTTTTTCTAAATTTACTATAACCATCTTCATTTTATTGTTAATAAAAAAGTAACAAAATATCTCTGTATTTTCAAACTATGCAGAATATAAATGAAAATCAAATAATGCGACTCTTATTTAGATGAATATTAGATTTTGAACAAGCATTCGGTACATTTTGATATTTTCTCAAGCTTCCATTGAAGTTATTGGTGATAAATTTTAAATATACAATTATACACGAAGGTACATATCATTTTCAACGTGAGGGAACCAAATTTTATATGAATTACTTCAAAATCTCCCCCTTTAACTACCAAGGATAACTTCATACTTGTTATATTTTTCAATGCACGTTTGCTCGGAATATCTACAGACAATATAGTTATATGCCAATTTAATTATGTACAAACTTGTCAAAAGAAATTTACTATTTTGCGAATGCTAGCTGTTCATTTTTGTTGATATGTAATTATCTAATACTGTTTATCTTGACTTATATTTTGTCCTTGTCATAAATTTTTCATGTTTCAATTTATTTTTGAAGACTTCGATGTTTGTGTATTGACAATCGGTATACCACCCCGGCTGTAAAATCCATTACATTTATACACAAGGGTCTGTAGTACCGTGTCGAACCAGATGTTGGTATTCATCACCATTAATTATTTATAAAATGTCACATTGAAATGGAATGATGTGCGAAAAATATAAACAACAATCTTAATAAGACTATGTACATAAAAAAAATGAAATATAGACAGTTCATTCAAATTCATGATTAAAAATTCCCTCTATGGTAGTAGCAATGGACTTGTGTTCAATGAAAGCGCCACAAAAACAGTTCACAAGTACATATTTCCGTGCAATTACTCTGCCATTTCTGAGCTCGCACCTTAACTGGTAGTAAAAAACACTAATCCTGATTGAAAAGCGCATAAATATTTCATAAATCCAGAATCTTGTTCACTTGAATGATCGAGTCTCTACCACGGCGGGACAGCATCCTTTGTACCTGACAGTCGGGCTCGGCAAACAGGCGGGTGGAAGGAATTGGACGAATGTCGATGTCCCTTTACTAAGACGAAGGCACTTATTTCATGAGAAGGAACAACTCGTGTCAACTATTCCATGTCAGTGCTATCAATTGAATTATTAATGTTAAATGAACACAAGAACTGTGCAAAGAATTGCTTGAACCATTCTTTCGATCCGAAACGAACTTTCCGTGATCTGCAACAGACATAAAAAATGTTAACGACTTCAATTTATCGAACGACTTCACACTTGTCGATAAACAATATTCTATTGTTCAAATTTGAAGGACCCTCTATACAAGAAAGAAAAAGATGTTTTGGACATTTAGAATAATTATAATGTGTAAAGGTGTAAATATTGAGCTTGTCTATTACATTTTCAAATTTCAACATAGGATACCTTACATTTAAACACCCCCCCCCCCCCCCGAAATAAAATTCAAAGACAATAAAGTACTGATGATCAGGAATCATTATTTTTTTTTAGCTTAAGTGAGCAAAATACCTGCAAATGAAGTGTTCAGTCTATTTATCTTGACCTATTAAAATGCTATGAAAAGGTCCTTAAAATTCAACCAACTTCATTCGAATGTGCACGTGCCTATTGCGATACTGCAAATGTTCAGTTTATTTAATCAGTGAAACTTACTAGAAAGAAATCCAAGAAGAATGCATCAAATAAAAAAAAGTCTTTATATTTACACTTGTTGGAACTTGTGAAATGATTTTTTTTTTAATTAGAGCTATTAGCCGATTGTAGTTTACATGTATTAATCACTATTTGTACTGAAGTGAGTGTGGAATTTACTGGATAACCAACGCCAATCAACGGCAAACCTACATCCAACTTATACGAGCATTAATAATACATATTAAAAAAAACATCAATATATTTCAATAAATAAAATCCCTCTCTGATCTGAAGAATAGAATTGAACGCGACCCCACCAATACAGCTAGTCAATTATAAAATTTATTACATAATTTAAAACTTTTGATTGTACGTCTCTATTTTCATTGAAATAAGAGGCCCCGATTAAGAAAAGGGAGATCAAAATGGAGCAGGAACATCAGGAACGCTTTAGAATGTAAATACATATTATAAGGAATAACTGTCTATTTCATTGATTGTAAATACATATTATAAGGAATACGTGTCTATTTCATTGATTGTAAATACATATTATAAGGAATACGTGTCTATTTCATTGATTGTAAATACATATTATAAGGAATACGTGTCTATTTCATTGATTGTAAATATATTATAAGGAATGCGTGTCTATTTCATCGAATGTATATGCAATATATACTGTAATATTTGCCTAACAATTGCTTCGGATAATTTTGATTTAAATAAATTACGCTAAAGTAAGCTAACACCGAAGATAGACGACATATTTCCTCCAGTTGATACTTACTATTGCCTGTTACATCTCTATTTTTCTTGGGCTTTGATGTCGGAGCTGAAAACAGAATAAAATTTTAAATAATTGAATAGTTCTTGTTTTGTATATTTTATTTCGTATTGTTATAAAAAAAATCCTAAAGAATCGAAGACATTTCCGACAATTTAATTGGATACTGTAAACCAACTTTTATTCGCGACGACTTTATTTCGCGATATACCGGGGATAAACTAGTTTGCGACGATTAATTTTCGCGATCAAGCCTTTTTTTGATCTGTTGTTAATAGAAAGAGAGACTTAAAGGACCGGTTCACGGCGAGAAATATTCGCGATAACGAGGCTCTCGCGAACCTCGCGAAAATTTCTCGCACGCGAATAAAAGTTGGTTTACAGTAACCATACATACAAATTACTAAAAAATAAAAGAAATATCACATCATATTTAGAGACGGTTACATTCTAAAAGCACCCTCAACAGATCAGACCTGAAATGATGAGGTTTTCCCTTTTTCTCATTAATCAATTTGCTGCAGAAACCTTGTTCTATAAGCTAACCTGGTCAAAATGCTTAACAAAGTTTCCGTGATCCAAGCTTCAGCATCGTCATTTGAACAATTTCAATTTCTATTGACTCTCGAGAATTTAACCACAAGTTGATTTAAATCAAAACTGGGTACAAACCTTGACAATTTAATGAAAATTCATATTAAGGGGAGTGGGATAATTAGGAGAAGGACTTCTTTTGCTTAAGGGGAAACAAATGCATGTGCACAAATAGAAAACCCGATTGTACATAATGTACTACACAAATACTGCAAAATTCTAATTAGTACATTCAACACAATAATTGACCTAAAAATTCCCTCGGAACATGCAAAGCCAACAAAAGCTGTGTTCCCTCTTTTTGTTATGACTTCGGGATGCCTCGGATTACATCAACTGTTGTGGGGCTACAGTTTGAGTTCTATTTAAAGCAAATTGATATATATAAAATCTTAAAAACCCAGGATACTAAAATTTATCAAAGTTCAGGGAGTGCATGCATATTGTCTTGATTAAGTTTTGTCCAAACGAAGATCTTTTCCTTGATGGGAATTCAGTACAAGAGACTCAATGTGTACCGGATAAAAGGTCCAAGGAGCCTCAAGGGACTCGAGTAGACCACAGACTTCATGTTACATTTATTGCTAGCAACTCTCTCGAGCGCTAGCAACTACGTTAGTCTATTTTCCTGGAATACGCATGCTCGACTTCACGGTAGGGCATTCTGGGAACACAACTGTAGATAAACTGTTCCATGTAAATTTCGTTTAATTATCTGAAAATACATATGATCTGAAGTTTATTTGCTTTGTTGTCTAAGCTGTATACAAATGTTAAAAAAGTAGCAGTTAAACTTAGGTCTTATAATGCCAAGACTGAAGAGATCGGTTAATTCTAAAAAGAATACTAAATAACCAAGTTTTTCTTAACTTCTTTCTGGCAAGCTCGGAAAACAATCTCGGATATATATGTTGCCAACCTGAATAAAATCTTGGCCTTGTGCAGCAATCTATGTGAGCGGATTAGAGGATCTGATTTTAATCAGGTTGTATATGTTACCGGAAAGACCCGAGAAGATGCGATTGCTATAAAACAGTACTACACTGGATTATTTTAAACTAGGTGCCCATACCTAGGCTCTACTGATCTCTTATATTTCACCTCAAAATTGAAATAACAGTAAGCTACAGAATGCTTAAAGCACAGTTAATGACTTATGCCATCGCAGATGTGAAGCCCACTTTCACCATTCATTCTGAATTGAGACCCCTACCTTACACCACCCCAGTGCACCACTGCACCTATTAATAATTAATCGATTCAGCAACTTAACAAAGGGGTTCAGATATCTACTTCTGTGTTTTATGATGGCTAACGCGCTAGCTCACCTATCTTTTTTTTAAAAGATAAGCTTGTGTACGTATACATCATTCACAGCATATAAGCCAACTTTGCCGGACAAAATTATGCACATGTATATTGCGGTTGACAAGGCTATACATTTTCACTGACCCTTAACAGTGTTTTGTTTCTTTTATGAATATTTTGCTTTTTTTTTTTTTTAAAAAAATGTGTATCATTGATAAACATTGATCATGTTGATCTCCAACCAAACTAAGAAGGGGTCACAATCGGTGGTTAAATATTTTTCAATCAGTATAAATCTTTTTTTCATGAAAAGTAGGACCAAATTAACATTCAAGCATTCCCATACAATACAGATTCAAAAATGTGTTACTAAGTACATAGAATGGTCTCTGGGAGTTAAGTGTTGGGCCACAGTAGGAGGTCAAGCAGGACAACAGTCATTCAAACTCATATGCAAGCAACTCCATGTAGCAAAGATTCAAAATTGTTCAAATCATGCCCCCCCCCTTTCCAATTATGACTGGATCTCAGAGTGAGGTGGGGGCTGTAGGCGACTTTCTTTAAAAGCTAATAAAAGTATTGCAATAGATATTTATGAATACATTGTAATTGAAAATAAGGACATCAAAATTGATTTTAAACTCTATTGCCTTTCCAGTATCAGTTAAGCATGCGCAATGAAAATATTCGTGCTCACCCTCAAGGATACTGACTGAGATACTCTTCACGAGATCCGCACTAGCTCTGCAAACATACACACCCCGATCGCTGAAACGACTGTTGTCGATGAGTAGATGACTTTTGAACTCTCGTTTGTAAGGCTCCCGTTCTCGCGTGATGTAAACCCTATTACGCCATCGACTGCTACCAGGAACTATTTTCACACCGTTAAAAAACCAGTCCACATCTTCTGGTGCACGACTTTCTCCTTTTACCAAACATGTGAGGTTGATCGGTTCATTATGATTGACAATATTTATTCCCTTTAATGTCAACCCTGTGAATGAAGATTTTAGTGTTATACGGGGAATTTTTGACACTGAAAAAAGTTCCAATGTTATGTACGAACAGGGACTTTTTTTCACCCTATTTACCTTATGATGTGCTGTGCGCATGCTTATTTTCACGTATTTAAACAATGTCCAATTATGCAGTTATAGATTTTCATTTCGAAATTCATAAGTAAAAATTGCAAACTTGTCTTACCCAAACCTTTTTAAACATTAACTTATGTTTATTCCTCTAAAATTTCACTTATAATACTTAATATGTAATGTATTGATTAAACAAACAACTTGATGAATTTGAATTTAATTTTATTTAGTCCAACAACTGCCTGGTATTCCAACGCGCCAAAATGTACAATTTTAAAAGTTTGATGCAATAAAAAACAACCCCCTTCACTGAGAATTAAAACAAACCCAAATGATACCTGTGTTGGCTGTAATTACCAAAATAGCGCCAGAAATGTTAATTATCGTACCTGGTGAAGGCTCCGGTGGGGAATCTGAAATAAGAAATATCTTAAGTATTGATTTGTACGCCGATGTCTAAGACTTAATAAGAAATGTGCAGTCCATCCTGGTACAGATCTAGAGCTACATATCCCCAAACGAAGCAGTGAATTATGAGCAGGTCCATGTGTCTGATTATCATCAATATGGAGAAAGTCCACAAAACCTGGATAACAGCCAAGCTATCCATATATAAAAGCGATAATGTTGCTGTTATAACAGCTATTACTTTGAACACTCTAATATTTTTTTTTATTTTGAAACAAATTACAGTATAATGTTACAATAAGTCCACAGCCAATCATGCCTCATTACAAACTGCATCAAGATCAAAGCAAATGATATTTCAAACGTAACTATTTCCTTCAGCTCCAGAATAAAAAAAACATGATGTCTTTCTTAAACATTAACATTCAGTATAATTTTCTTTTAATTATGAATTACATTGGAAATCTACAATATTCAATCTCCTACAAAACAACTTAAACCTTGTCACTGCGCGGTAGAATACACAATAGGAACTATATGCATTTTCAGTGCTCTAGGAACACCAAAATGTATATTGTTTTGGCTCAATTTAATAAAAAAAAATTATGCTATTAAATTATTGTAAAAAATATTACAAATGTATGTTTAAAATTAAATTGTTATATCCCCTCGCAATATTCATTTGCGTTAGAATTCATAATATAGATTTATGAAATTAACAATTATGAAGGGAAAAAATTAGAGAATATATTGAATTCTTATTTTAGGATGACGTCGGTTCCATAACAGCACCTGGCCGTGCCAACGAATTATCATATTCAATTTTGTCGGCATGGTCAGGTGCTGTTATAGGAACGAAGACATCCCAAAATAAGAACTCAAAGCTTTAAAAAAAAAAAAGCAACCCCAAGTTGTGATGTGAATGTAAGTTCCAGAATGTACTATTTGTGTAAGTTTTGCAAACCAAATGCTAATATTTTCCTAAAATTTTAAGGCCGTAAAAAGGCTTTATATTTTTTTCTAGTTAGAAAGTGATGTTTTGCTAGGCTAACGATCATTTAAAAGATACAGTTACTTCATTATAATATAAGACATTCCTACTTTAATTTCAAATCTGGTAACTTCATTATTTTCATTTCTGTCTTCATTTCAAATTCATTTATCAGCAAAACGGGTCTATGGTCTTTTACTACCCCTCACAGCAAGCTCCAAATTAGAAGACCCCCCACCCACCACCATCCCCGAAAAATTTCGTTCCATGAAAGTTTACATGTTTGTAATGCATCAATAAATTCAATGCAATCCCAAGCTTTTATCAACTTTGACTAATCGACATTAATGCAGAAAATGCCCTTCAATTTGAAAAAAAAATACGTTTGCGTCCTTGGAAATTCTAATAAATAGACAATATTTATATCTGTTTTCCCTTGAAAAGAATTGATCACATAGTGGGCTATTTTTGTCCAGAATTTTTCAGAATAATGAGAATCTGGCGTGTATATTATTAACACTAAGACAATCGTTACAAGTATTTATTTCTTTAATCTAGTTTACCCTTGACTTCCCATAAGATTCATGCACATCTTTTTTTGTGAGGAGTCTCTACAATTGACTGAATTAATAATTATATTGTTGTGTGACTGTGCAAATTTTCTCGGCATACATGCCAACTTTTGAAAGAGACCGGATATTCCCTGGACAGTTCCTGCAATGATCTATATTACCTTCTAACTTGTACAAAGAGCTGATTAAAGTGATATATGCACGTGTGCATGCAAATAAATGAATCGATAGGTCATTCATCCTTCTTCCAAAGCAGAATGATTTAAGAATCAAAAGGACCCTTATTTAGGGTTACTGTCTTCAGTTTCCAAGCGTTAGAAAATCCATGTCAAAATTTATAACCCTATCGGTTTAGTTCTAAAGTTAATAAACTTTACATAAAACACTAGTTCTCCGTCTGTATGAAATGTAATCAATCTTTTTATGTAAAACAAATAAAGTTGGATTTATGTGAATGAAATGTGACAAAATACATTAAGGCCTCTTGGATCACTTTGATGAAGATCATATTCCTGTGGTGAAGTAAGAAATGGATGGTATTTGCTGTCCGTGTTTACAACAAATCAGATATCAATGATGTTTCGTGCAGCCAACATAATTCTGGCTGAATTATAAAATTTTAAATTATCTTCCAACCATTTCAATTTTTCATTCAGCTGTAGCCCCAAACAAACCCTGGAGCCATTACTTCATCAACTGCAGTTGAGCATATACCGAAAGATCAGATAAGAAATCTGATGGTTTATAAATGTTTCCGTTTGTCCATGATTCGAACAAAAATGAATATACATGGATGCTTGCATATGCAATTAATAATTAATTTATAGATATATTTTTTTCTTGGAGCTTTGAAAGTACAGCAATTAAATTCACCAAAATCTAACTTCAGATATTTCACAGATATGAACTTTTTACCAATAACGTTTAGTTGCACCAGGTACACGAACGATTCAGAAGAAGAAACTTGGCATTCGTACTGGCCAGCATCGCTTGGATCCACCCGTTTGATGACCAAGTTCCAATGATCTCTCCCCATCCAGTCTTTTTTCTGCTGGAGGTCGATTTTATCATTAGCAGGGAAGACCATTTCACCAATTGTAAGTGGATATCCGGAACCAAGTTTTCGCCAGACCACCTGATAATCAGAAAAAAAATTTACTTTGTGGAAGAAAAACTTTATTTTTCAGCATCATTAATATGAAATACGGTGAGGAGACAATGTCAGAGATACCTTGTGCTATTAATATACTATGGGGTAAACTTTTCTTACAGAAACAAGTGCACCTGTACTAAGACCAATGTCCAACAAAAGATATAAATTTACATTGATAATCAGAGACGCGAAAAAAATAACCAAAAGTATGCTCTTTATGCTCCAAAGGAAATGAACATATACATGAAAGGTTCTTTTTCAAATGTAAAGTTAACTTTATCTCACAAGTCAAGACTGGTTACAAAAGTTTCACAATGGCGGCCTAAATTCCAGCTTCTCTAAAAATGTCAATCTTTCTCAAGAATATATAATATGGGTACAATATAATTCTTATATCTTGATCACGCTGACTTTTTCTCTCAAACAGACAAAATTATCCTGAATTTAAGTCTCCAGAAATCACTTTGATTTTTTACTCTTGCAAATATGATTAGCAAGCAATATATTGGTAAAGTGAATGTAAGTGATATTATGGGAATTCCTTTTTGAACATCATTAGTTAAAAACCAAATTCTCAAGGCGATTGGAACAAGAAGAATGGCAATATTTTTATGACTAAATCGCGAAGACGTCAAAGCATTTATTTCATTTGATTTTCGCCTTCCAGAATATTGATGTGTAGAAACTATCCTTGTCGAATATATATATTAGACTGACATGTTTCTCTAAAGACCCTTGTCTTAGCTTGAGAAGAAGATCGGGAAATTTCTCTCTTTGTCCAAGGTTAACCACTGAGCAGAATAATGTACGGTGCCCAAAGCCAATTGTTTAGGGAACATATTAGCGTTAATCACCTGCGTCCTATTGGAATCGGCTTATTTGACCTCTCTGTTACATTCCTAATATCTAAATCATTATAGGAAAAAGAAATAGAGTTCCTAGAATTATATTTCCCATAAGGCCATTGGTGCTAGCCCGACCTTTGGTTTCTTACTAATGATTTAAGGGTTATGACAATCAAAAGCAAGAATTTTACCATTTTTGGCCCCAGATTTTCTATTGTGCACCGTAGAATCGCTGTTTGTCCTGTATGGACTGTAATGTTTGGTTCCGTCTCGTGGAAATAGGGAACCTGAGTGTATCCTGAAATTATAGAAACCTGTCAATATTACTAAAAAGATATATTCAGGTTGAGGCTATGAAAAATAACAAGCATGATTTAGAGTACTTTGAGAAATATGATCGTAAAATTTATTTATGAGACCCTAAGAAAAAATTTACTATAATAGTTAATTATGTTCTACTTAAGTAAACGATAGTTTTCTATAATAGTTCCTTTATTACTTCGATAGTTTACTTTAATACTATGTTTTATTATGGTATACTTTGAAAATTTGCTGTGGAAATTTTATTTACTATGAAATTTTATTAAACTTGTTTTTGAGAATAGGGTATTTATTGTCACCCGCTATCACAGAGAGTAGGGGATATTAATTTGGGTTTATCCGTCCGTCTGTCTGTGTGTCATTCTATACGCGTGTCTAATTTAAAAGCCTTAAGTTTGAGATTTTGCAATAAAATTTTATTATCACATCTCCCTATGACCTATAAAAAATCCCTATTGATTTTGAGGTCAAAAGGTCAAAGGCCATAAATTCATACATTCAGTCTGTAACACTTTTTTCCGTACAATATCTTTAAAAACTTCTGAATCTTTGCAATTAATTTATACCACAACTCCTAGTGACTTAAAGAGGACCCTATTAAATTTAGGTCCAAAAGTCAAGGTCATAATTGCAAACATTGCAAGAAACAGTTTCCAGATGATAACTTAGTTGTCTTTCAGCTTTTCACAATGAAATTTAATATTCCAACTCCCTATGGTCTAAAAAATACTATTGATTTTGAGGTCAAAGGTCAAGGTCATAATTCATATATTCTATCTGTGTGTAACACTTTCATTTGAAGCGATAGCTTCAAAGCCTTCGAGATTTTGCAATGAAATTCTATATCACAACTCCCTATGGCCTAAAGAAGACCCTTATTAATTCTTAGTTCCAAAGGTCAAGGTCATAAATATATATATTTCAACAATGGTTTCCAGATGATAGTTTTTTCAGTGAAGTTAAATACTGAGTATCATTACTCCTAATGACTTAAAGAAGACCCCTTTTGATTTTTAGGTCAGAAGGTCTAGGTCAGAATTTCATACAATCCAAGACATGGTTTCCAGATGATAATTTTAGTTTTCCTTGAGCTTTTTCTATGAAATTTTATATCATAACTCCCAATGACTTAAAGAAGACCACTTTTCATTTTGATGTTAAGATAAAAATTCAAATCTTGTATAAAATGGTTTCCTGGTGATAATTCTAGTTCTTTATGAGTTTTTGCAATGAAATTTTATACCTTTAGTCAATACGATTTTTTTAAAAAAAGTACCAAGGTCCGAAATTTAATATTGCACACATTTGACCATTTCAGATGATAACTTTAGTTATCTGTAAGCTTTTGCAATGAAACTTAAGATCAAGAATTTCTTTAATTTAAAAAAAAACCTTATTGACTTTATGGCCAAAAGGTGAAAGGTCAAGTTTGACCTTTTTTCTCCATTTGTATATCTTTTTCATTTCTTCCATCCTTCCTTAAGCAGGGGACATAAATTCTCTGAATTAGCTTGTTTCTTTAAAATTTTATATCAATGATATTAAATTTTGGAAATAGGGTATTTATTTCTTTCATATTTTATATCAATGATGTTAAATTTTGGATATAATATTTGAATATACATTTTCAAAATATCTCATTTGAGAATTTGGATTGATGAAATTCATGAATAGCAATTTGAAGTTCATACTAAAAATACTTTTATTTATAGTAAAAACTTTGATTTAAAATAGTAAATACTTTGATCGACTTAAAACTTCGAAATATTGATTTGATATAGTAAGCTATAATTAACAACAGAATAGTTTACTATAGTACTTTTGTGAGGGAAGGAATCTTAACTACCATATTATACAGACACTTCAGCAAAACTACCATTACAATCAATAAATGACTAGGACTGAAATAAAATACTTTTGATTAAATGAAAAAGAGAAAAGAAAAGAAATTCAATATTTTATTTTTGCAGTGGGATTTACAACAAGTGAATAACAAAGGATAAATATATATACTGTATATTCAAACCAAATAGCCGTTCTCTACCATTGTAAATGAAGAATCAAAATTCGGTTATCTGTATCTTAAATTATTTGTCTCTTTAATCGAATTCTTTCATGGTTTGTCATTGTCTTCAAAAGTAAGGCTTGTTCGAATTAGACGAAAATATTTTACTCAGATGTTAAATACACCTGATTAAAACTTTTTTTCTATTCAGGACACTAATTAAGCCAAACGATGAAAGTACTACTCTTCCCCACGAATTCAATCAACAAGAATATAATAATTAAGCTTTCTCTTCGTGAGTTCATCTGTTTTTACGTCTGAATGTTTCATTTACGCTTGTTAAAAGATCTTTTTTTTAGGAAAACGGCAGCAATTACTAACGTTGTTTGTGAGCGCTGTGTGTAAACATAGAACTCCACTTTCAATTAGAGAAAGATAGTCCATCGACCTGCTCTAAACGCCAATATTAACACATTTCCTTTGTTTAACCATGCTTTTTTGATCGCCTGGAGTAACTGAGTGTAGAAATTGAGGACCACCTCGCTTCCACGATTGTCTCTGGTTGTCCATTTGACGCTTGCCTAATGGCGTCTGTAAACACGTTAGATTGTGCTTATGTTTGCATTTTGTTCTTCTGTAAATGTATAACTTCACATTGCAAATAAAAGGATGTTAAATCACTTAATGAAACCTTGACAATCTACTCCATGCCAGATTTAATTCTATTCGATGTTTAGTACCAGTCACCCAACAGCGTGAGCATCAAAACCCTGCAGTGGTGCATCTGGACTATAGTTCGTATGAAAATATCCTTTCAAATTTCCTTTTGAAAGAAAGCAGTTTATCATGTTTGACACATAGAAATTGGAAACAACTTTGACAATTCCTCGTACAATATATAATTCATGTTAATATTTTCAGATCTTCAAACGAATATGAATATAATCAATGGTTCCTTTTGCTGTTTAAATGCAACAGCAATTCATAATTATGTCTTAACGCTAGGAGTGCCTTAATTGCTCGAAAGAAATATTTCAAAATTGATTTTGTTATTTTGGCAAATTTTGAAAATTCCAGAATCTAATTTTTTTTAAATATTTGAATGTTAAACTAACAAGAGGCCCAAGGGCCTTAACACTCACCTGAGTACAATACAATACTATAAAGGATTCATAGAAATATAACTAAAACGAAATAAAATGATAGATGAAGCTATGTTGCCCATGAACAAGGGAAAGATGATGATCAGGGATCAAGAAAATAATTAGTAATCAGTAACAAATCTTAGAGTAGATTTATCTACTTGCCTGTACCTGCCCCCCATTTGTCACTATCACCAAGCAAACTAAGCTACTGTTGAACCCATCTCATTCCCTCTCACAATGGCTTCTCTTTGTCTTTGAAGAATATTTAATACATACAAAGATAAGGTATTTTGTCTCATTTTAATTTATCTATTATTAAGAAGTACGTGACCATTAAAAACATTGAAAGTACATTTTGTATTTTATCTATTATAAAAATTCTTGTATAAGTCTCTTATTTAATTGACCTTTCATTAACATTATTTACAGTAGTTATTTATCATAGGTGAATTACGAAGGGGAATAATTTCTCTCAGAAGAATAAAAATTAATTAACAGAGCCCTGCCCAGCACCAGAACACTTGACAAAGTCGTCCAGAATTTCATAAATGTGGTAAAAATTACCTTGCAGGCCTTGCTTATAATAACTTTTTACTTTGTTTGCCCAGAAGTAGAGCAGATTTTCAAAGAAATAAAGCATTTTTACTAAGGATTTAACACAGTCCCACCCTAATACCAAAATCCCCCAGCCAGGGGCCATGAAATTCACAATTTTGGAAAAGGTACACTTGCTTATCTTTACTATGCACTAATTTTATCTTCTAAATACCTAGGAGCAGAGAAGAAGATTTTCAAAGAATTAATGCATTTTCACCATGTAATCAATAGAGCCCCTGACCCAAGGGCCGAGAAACTCATAATTTTGGAAGAAGCATCCTTGCACATAATAACCATGCATTTACTTTGTTTGGCAAAAACCCAGGGACAGAGAAGATTTTCAAAGAAATAAATAACACCATAACTCCCGACCCAGGGGCTATGAATTTCATATTTTTCGGAGAGGCATCCTTGCTCATAACAACCATGCAATTAGTTTGTCTGCTAAATACCAAGGGACAGAGAAGAAGATATTTAAAGAATTATTGCATCTCACCATCAGATCTATAGAGCCCAACCCTAACACCCAGACCCAGGAGCCATGAAATTCACAATTTTGGAAGAGTCACCCTGGTCATCATAACCATGCATTTAGTTTATCTGCTAATATCAATATGGAACTTGACAATATAATCAACAGAGCTCCGCCCTAACACCTAAGCCACTGACCCTGGGGCCATGAAATTCACAATTTTTGAAGAGGCATCATTGTTCATCACAACCATGCAATTAGTTTTTCCTTACCCAGGAGCAGAGCAGAAGATTTTGCAATAGATATTGCATTTTCACTATACACCTGTATAATGAAAATTAAAAGCAAAAAAAAAAAAACAACAACAACAAAAAACAAAAAAAACAAAAACAAAAACAAAAACAAAAAAAAAAAACAAAAAAAAGCCCCAAAAAATGTATCCTGGTATGGTGTACCTGGGTAAGTCTTTATTGCAATCAGAATTAAACCATACGAGGGAAGCGTTTTGAAAGAATTTTACTCAAGTATAAACCTTAAGTAACTATGACAAAACCGTTCGTTGAAATAAAAATAATTTAAAACCATACACAGTATACCCGCGTAGCAGGTTTCATTGAAATCGGACCAAGACTGTAGGGGTAACACTTTAAAGGATTTTTTATGGGAACCAAGGCAGCAGCACGATTCATTGAAAACAAAAACCGATAAAAGAATGACTAGTATGATTCTTAGTGTAGTCTACATGTACTTGTGTAGCA